ATTGTATGTAAAGATGACGCTTTTTATAAAAAAAGGTCGTCTATTGTATGTAAAGATGACGTCTTTATAAACAATCCACGACGGTTTTCATAAAAAAATCGTCATCTTTACATACAATACACGACGGTTTTATTAAAAACAGTCGTCTTTCCTCCTATAATTAACGATCTTTACCTCTAAACAACGACGATTTTCTTTAAAAACCGTCATCTTTACTGATAAATAACGACGGTGAAAAGCCGTCGTAGTTTGAAACCCAAATAGACGGCAGTCGATTTCACGACCGGGCGAAAACCTTTTACACGACGGTGGTTTCCCGTCGTCTATTTCGATTTTTGTAGTAGTGCGGGCTTCCTCATGCCATCTTCTCTCTGCAAGGCTATAAATGCTGACTTGGCTCCCTTTTGGTGGGGGCACAATGAGGAAATAAACAAAGATTCACTGGCTTTCTTGGGACAAACTTAGTTTCTTTAAGTCGGTGGGGGGTATTGGCTTTCGTGAGACCATCTCCAACCATGTTGGGGCTAAATTCAAATTTCCACTCTTTAAAATACAATTATTCATGTGTTTTTAGGACTCAAATTTTTTTTTCCTCCAACCTTGCAGACTCATAATTTAAGTCCGCAACTTTATTAAATTGTTTAAAAATAATTAACTCCTAAATTTTTTTTCTCATTAATTTTTCTTAACATTATTTTTGTTTCAACATTCGTGATTTAATTTTCTAAACATTTTAACCTAAAAAAAATTAAAATTCCAAAACATAATAGATTTTCACTTGAAAATAAAAATAAGTACAACACCATATGTGTTTAAATTATGTAAGTGTGTTTAAATTATGAAAATTTGTATAAAAGTGGTTGTTGCTCTATTGTTAATTGACACAAATTAATGTGCTAAGAATGAGTAAAGTATACAATATAATGAAAAAAATATAAGAATGAAAGTAGAATGAAAAAATATAACAAAGAGAGAAAGGAAAACAAAGGGAGAAAAAAAAAAGATTTTTGGTTGACACAAATTATAGCTGTTGGAATATTTAAAAAAAAAATTTTAAAAATTTAACAGAAAAAATAGAGCTCCGCATAATTTTGAAAAAGTAGCGGTTAGGATTCAATCAAATGGCCAGCTTGTTGCAAAACTCACGTGGGGCGAACACTTTTTGTTGTTCACGTGGTCTTCCAAGGTAAAAAACAAAGAAGAAAAAGTAGATTTTGGGCCCACAAACATTATCAGTCGAGGCAATAGTTTGGGTGGAATTCCAGTCCGAATTTGAGATTTCTCAAATTTCCACCCCGCAAAATACATGGGTTAGAGATAGTTTTTTAAAGCTAAACTCAAAATTTGAGTTTTCACCCCAAGAGTTGGAGATGGTCTAACTAGACATCGAGCTTCAAACTTTACAATCCTCTATTTTCAATAAATCCTTGTTAGCTAAGCAATACTGGAGAATCTTAAAAAATCCTGAGGCTCTTTGTGACAGGACCCGCTCCAAATTCTTCAAAATCCGAGACGAAATCCTGTGGAAAATTCCGACATCACCCTTATGTTGGGCCCACTTACTAATACTAAAGCCTTTCTTCTTTTTTTTTTTTTTTTTGTGAAATAAAGAAAAGGGGCACGAGACTTTCTGCCGAAAATTTGGCAAAGTCTTCCCTGTAAATTGGACTTTTCCCAAAATTTTCTCAACCCATTAAAAACACAATTAATATCTACAATTGGCAGCATGCACAAGTTAACCTTCAAGCAGTTTATAAACTAGGCCTCTGGCCTTTAATAATTCAAAACCAAACCACCAATGAAGCTCTTAAGTCAAATAATGAGATTTAACAAAGTAAATAATGAACTTGAATTAAATTATGCATGCCCACCATAATTAACATAAAATAACTTCTAAATTTCCATCATACGATGTCTAACAACCCAACACAATCACACAAGTAGTTTAAGCACTCGGCCCCAAATTGTACAACAATCCAAGACAGGTTTCAAACCTGTCTTGGCCACAACCACACTTTAACAACACTTACTTAGTCTGACAGGAAAAAGAATACTCATTAAACCAAGCCTCGTTTTCAAATGAGCTTTAAAACCACCGACACGGTTGACACCAAACTCATCCAAAAACCAAAAGAAGTGAGATTAGATCCAAATGACTAAATTAAAATTCCATAAATATCTTTAGTTCGCAGCTGCACCTGGGTGGGACCCCATGCTACCTACGTACCCTTACCGAAGGATCAAGTCACACGTAGTTCTTCCATTCCTAATCACGAACCAGCTGATATACAACCATTTTCAGCAGTACAAATAAGTTATTTCTAGAATTATCTTTTCTCTTTACTTTAAATCACATCATACCCATCATAATCCTTTTTAAACATGAATCTTTCCCCGAAATAGTATAATAATCCCTTTTTTTCCTCTCCCTGTTACTTTACTACACGCCGGAAGGTCTAACGCCACGCGTAGTAAAGTAATAGTAACCCAAGTGTACGGACCTCTTACCACACGCCGGATGATCCAACGCCACGTGTTGTAGAGTAATCAGTGTCCCAATGAGCACACATGCCGGAACTTTCAATGCCACATGTGGCCCAACCAAACCATATATGCCCACCCGCTGGAATCATCCAACGCCGCATGTGGGTTCAACATCAAACCATATATGCCCACACGCTAGAATTATCCAACGCCACGTGTGGGTACCACAACACGCCGGAATCATCCAACGCCGCATTTGGGTTCAACAACAAACCATATATGCCCACACGCTGGAATTATCCAATGCCACGTGTGGGTACCACAACAAACCATATATGCCCACACGCCGGAATTATCCAACGCCATGTGTGGGTTCAACAACAAACCATATATGCCCACACGCCGGAATCATCTAACGCCACGTGTGGCATGTGTGGGTACCATAATCAAAGGAGGGTACTTAGCATGGAATAATATCATATGCCCAATAATAAACTTGACAAATACAGTATATCACTTACCTCGTGAGTCATTTCCAACTTCAAAATTTTTACAAATATGACAATGTCGCCCTTTTAGATCTGGACTTCAACCCCAAACACTTTTCATCTTCCTCAACCCTTGTTTCGACCGTGCTCAACGATTTCAAAATCAAGAGAACAGCACAACGGTCGCGGTCACCAGTTTCCAACTCAAGACATTACTCAAGGATTGACGAATATTTCGACTAGAAAGACCGAATCACAAAGATGATAATATAAAATAGACGAACACTTTCTTTCACCTGAATGAGAATCCCAGAAAAATGATGGCTATACTTCTGTGCTCTTCCTGGAATCAAATAAGGAATAACAGGAGCACTCTCTCTTCAGTGTTATTGGTCTTGCTCAATCAAAGCTGATAAAAAAATTGGCCACTTAATTGAACAAACTGAACAGCTGGATTGGAGGGGACATCTGTTTTGGAGGGGACGTATGTTTTCGACTCGACGTTTTGGAGAGAGGAGAGAGAAGAAGGCCTCATTCTAACACAACATTTACACTTACAATTGCTTTTGATGCAGCCGTTGGATTAGATCCAACGATGTTCTCATGTAAGGTTCGCACATAAGCGTTCTCACCTGATCCAAACCGTTTATAGTTTTAAACGTGGGCTTCATGTATTTCAGCCTCAAAAGCCCATCTTGTATAATGAACTTATTGGATAACAGCCCTAATTTATAAGACAAAAATGTAGTAATGATTCCTCAAATAACATCATACTTTACTTTTCGTCTCTCAACTCCAAATATTGTTATGGCTGTCCTTCAATGGTTTTTCCATCAATTGTGTTAAATTTTCTATCAAAATTAAGATCAAATTGAAAAATTCACATAAAATATTTATTAGATAAATAAACTCAATTAAAAAAAAAAAAAACCTAGTCTCCCAATTTGAGCCTCTGGGAAGGAGGGTTGGGTGATTGGGGGGAGGAGTGGGTGGCGATTTCTATAATTGGCTTGCTGCTATTCTTGTATCTCATTGGGAATTTGCAGGTTGGTCTTGAAATCTTCATATGAATTTTGTTTCTAACATTAATTATCTGCCCATATATACTATAAATTCGAGGATTTAATCATGAACTGAACCAATTGCAACTCTTGTTCTGGAATATCTATATATACAGACGTATTTGCAGTTTGCAACTACAAGATCAGAAAAGCTTAGACAGATGCTGAAAGCGAAAGATTTAGAGATAGATTTGTGGTATCTAGAAAAGGCCTTCCTAAGAATTTGAAGGAAGTGATCATGCAAGTCGTTCAACAAAAACTTGAACAAAATAAAGATGTTCAGGTAGAGAACATCCTCTCTGTTCTTCCATTGGAACATAGCAACTTTATCAGGCGTTATCTTCGTTTGGCTACACTTAAGAATGTAAGTAATTATTCCTTTCTGTATATATATACATATGCATTGGATTTAATTAGTCATAAATCTGACGTATTAAATGTATCTATATAGGTTCGAATTCTTAAAGCTATGGATGAAAAACTGTTGAAAGCAATCTGTGAACATCTCATACCAATCAACTGCAATGAGAACAAGGATATTATTGGAGAGGGGGACCAACTTGATAGGATGCTTTTCATCAGGCAAGGAATTGTACGGACATTCAGAACAAATGGCAAAGGAGGAAAGATTGGTACTTCTAAGCTTCTGGAGAAGGGTGATTTGTATGGAGGAGAGCTTCTAAATTGGGCATCAAATCTAATTACGTCTCATACTGTCTAACCCATCTTGACCAGAAATTTCAAGTCTGTAAGCAAAGTTGAGGCCTTTACACTCATGACTTGGAGTTGGTAATCACTAAATTCTGGTGGCATTTCACCAAGGACAAGGAGCTCAACCAATTTAGCGAGCCTCAGTTGGAGCGGCTGAAGAAGCACGCAATTTCTTCAATAGAAAGATAAGTCCATCGCATTAATCAAGCGAATATGAATAAGCAGCAGCATACACCCCCATTGGCTGGTGAAGGTAGTAGTGGTAGTATCACCTGTCAATTCGGGATTTATAGCCGCTAGGCTATACTATGGTTTTAATAATAATAAAAAGTATCGCCGGACGGCTATACTGTTTTTGACACATGGCGAACTAGGCGCTAGGCGCGAGGCGAGCGGTCCTTTTTTATTGTAAAGTATATAGCCGGGCAGGTGGCTATACTGGGGGTTTGTTATACTATTTTTATTATAATATAGTGTCCGGCTATACTGTTTTTGACACACGGCGAACCGGGTGCTAGGTGCGAGGCGAGCGGTCCTTTTTTATTGTAAAGTTTATAGCCAGGCGGCTATACTAGGGGTTTGTTATACTATTTTTATTATAAAATAGTGTAGCCTCGGGGCTATACTATTTTGATACATGGCGAAACGGGCGCAGGCTCCAGGCAAGTCTTTATTTTTTTAATAAATAGTATAACTGGGTTGCTATACTCACGATTTTTTGTAATAAAAAGAGTATAGCCGATCGGCTATACTATTTTTGACACGTAGCGAAGCGGGCGCTAGGCTCCAGGTGGGTCCGTACTTTTTATATCAATAGTATAGCCGTGCGGCTATACTCAAGTTTTTTATACAAATAGTTTATAAAAAAAACATAGAGTGCGTACTAGTTTTTGTTATACATAGTGTAGCCGCTCGGCCGCGGCTTTACTGGGGTCATTTGTTTATAAATATTTGTTTCTTTACATATACTGTGATATTTTTTTGTTAATTGTTTTTTGCCAATTTTTTGTTTATTAATAAGGGTAGTTTAGAGCATTATTCTTTATTTAGGCCATTATCCGAGTTTCTATTGTCCCCTTTGAGTTTTTACTTTTCTAGAGCTATTACCCGTATAAAGAATTTAGTATTTTCACATTGTATACTCGTATTGTACATATACATATTTATTTTTCATGTTTAATACACTTGGTTTTTACAAAATTTTCAATTATACACACAAAATTTACTTATTATACACATAATTTTCGCATGTTATTAAAAAAAATATTATATATTACAATTTTTAAATAAATTGTATTAAAATATTATATAGTGACCAAGCTTATCAATTGTAATTTGCCAAAATATTTCCAAATAAAACACGTACGTATTTTATTCATATTTTTCCCTTTTCGTATTTTACTAACAATGAAAGAATGTGAGAGGCTAAGATTATTTCTTACTTTTTGTAATAAAAATACAAGATGGTGATTTTGCAATCTCTTTGCCAACCAAAACAACAATTTCAAACAAAGATTTACAAGTATTCCCTTTCCGTATTTTACTAACAAAAATGTGAGATATTGCGTCCTAACACTTGACGGGACAAAACCAATCAGCTGTAGAAACTTTGATTAAACAATTGCAACCAATATATTATATACTAATTAATGAATACTCTTGGGGAAGAACTGAAGTCGAAGATCCTGCATGCCCATCTCCCTCTTTCTCATCAATTCTTTCTTGATATTAGTAAAGATTGACTGAATCAGTAAAGATTAACTGGTCTTAAATTTGGGCTTCATATATCAGCAACTTGCAAGTTTGATGATGCGGAATACAGTATTATTCAATTCCCACTATACTAGTACTGGAATACAGTTTTTATTTTCCAGTTGCTGATTTGTCAGCTGTCACCTTGAAAAAAATTAGCAACTAGCAAAAACTATGCGTAAAGAAAACCCCGTCTCTCCCAATATCGCTTGTGTAAAAATAAAAAATAAAAACTACAAAGGCAATTGGGAAAAGACTAAGAACGGACAAGTCTATGGTTGGCAAAGAATTAACTAAGTAAGAAAATATTAAGTTGTCGCTGGTTCTTCGTCAACTACAAAGGCAAGTCTCTGATTTTATTTCCTAATTATATTATTGCATGTTGAGTTGAGCTGATGCGTGCAGGTAAGTCTATAAAACTGAATCTAACAATGTTCTGTTCCATATTGGCTTCAAGGACAGCTTAATTTGGTTTTCAAATATTTGGAATATGTTTCGGTAATCTTATAGTACATCCAATTTCAATTTTGGCATAACGATGAATACTACTAGTGTGGAGGATCTGGAGGAGGACTAGCGAATTCAACTAAGGTCATTCTCCGTTAATATCTTCCAGCGTTCAGCGAGGTTATTCAGCCAACGCTAGCACACGGAGTTTCCAACGAAGGCCAAATTCAGTTCATCCCCAGCCCAACCGAGCAAGTGCACCACAATATCCTACTGAATTCACAAAGAAACAAGAAGAAAACGACCCGTGAAAAACTTGTTCTTCTTTTGAAACCATCGTCGAACACCATATTTTGTTGACGTGAGTCTCCTAATTAATCAAGGAGATTTACTTCCTTGATTAATTAAGGGATTTACTTTCCTATTTTTATATAAGTGAATCATTGTACAATTAGGAGATACTTTCCTAATTCTTTGCTTTATCTAATTCCTTGTAAAACCCTCATATGTAAACTCCTATATATACCTCCTTATGAAGAAGAAAAAAATACAACCCAAAGTATTCAAACCATATTCATATTTTAGCATGGTATCAGAGCCAGGTTCTCTTGTGACATGTGCTTGCGTTCTTCTTGAAATTTAAGAGCTCTCCTCCCCTCCTCTTCAAGGGGGAGAGGGGGAGTGAAAATGATATGTTTATTGATGTATCCCCATGAAGATACTGCATATCTCTTTACTCTGACGACCCCTTCTCTTCAGGGGGAGAAGGGGAGTGAAGAGAAGTTGTTTTGTCTCTAAACCCTTATCTCAAATTTCTCATATTCAAATCCTAAATCCTAAATCAAATTCCTCATATTTTTTCCCCAAATACAAATCCCTCAAATCTAAAGTCCTCAAATCCTCTTATCCAAAACCCTAAATCAAATTCCTCATATTTTTTCCCCAAATCCAAATCCCTCAAATCTAAAGTTCTCAAATCCTCTTATCCAAATACCTAAACACATACCATCAAATCTTATACACATACCTCTTATATATATCCAATTCCTACATCAAATTTCTCACATCACCTTCCTCACCTTCTCACATCACATCTTACTTCCGTTGCGATGTCAGGAACCCATATGATTCTCCATCTTATTGCAGACTCACAGAAGCATGCGGTCAATCCTACTGACCTGGCTACCTAGACTCCTTCTTCTATCACCACCACCAAAGGTTCTACTCTTCATACATCCTCCAAGATCAAATATTGCATATGCAGTGAGTGTGGTTAGTCAGTTTATGCATTCACCCAGTGTTTCTCATAGGAATGCAGTTCATCAGATCTTAAGATACTTAAAGTCAACCCCTGGGAAAGGATTAATGTTCTAAAAAAATGGAGATCTTGAAGTTGTTGGATACATAGATGCTGATTGGGCTAGTTCTATTACAGATAGATGCTCTACTTCAGGTTACTTTACATTCGTGGGAAGTAACCTAGTCACTTGGCGGAGTAAAAAGCAAAATGTGATTTCTCGGTCTAGTGCAGAAGCAGAGTATTGAGGAATGGCCCCTTGACAGAATTGGGCTTCAAGCCAGAAAAGCCAACGGAGTTACATTGTGATAACAAGTCAGCTATCGATATTGCCCATAATCCAGTTCAACATAATTGAACCAAATATGTTGAGGTGGATAGGCATTTTATCAAAGAAAAAATTGAGAAAAAGATCATCCGCCTACCATTTATAAAATCAGAAGATCAACTGGCAGATATCTTAACCAAAGCTATTTGTGGAAGAATATTTCATGACTCACTTATGAAGTTGGTCATTGGTGACATATATGCACCAAGGAGGAGTGTTGACGTGAGTCTCCTAATTAATCAAGGAGATTTACTTCCTTGATTAATTAAGGGATTTATTTTCCTATTTTTATATAAGCGATAAATCATTGTACAATTAGGAGATACTTTCCTAATTCTTTACTGTATCTAATTCCTTCTAAAACCCTCATATGTAAACTCCTATATATACCTCCTTATGAAGAAGAATAAAATACAACCCAAAATATTCAAACCATATTCATATTTTAGCATATTTGTCATTGCATTTGTGCTGGCAGTTTCATTATATCCCTCGTTCTTTTACATACCAATCATCGATGAAAAAAACAAGTGCCTTGACTTGGACGTCAAGTTGAAGAACGTAGCATTTATTCTGCGGGTCCCTCTTTGATGTCACCTTCATAGGGCATATTGTATATCAAATTTATGAAGCCATTAAAGCTGTGGCTTTGATAAACAATATTCATCGATTTGTCTCTTTTTCCCTCTCCCATTGTTTTAGTAGGAACCAAATACATTTAATTAGAAAAAGAATGTGATCTTAGAGCTTAAAAATATACTAATTGTATAACATAATATTGTAGCAACTTTGGTGGGTCCACCTCCCAAGTTAACAACTTGTTATGCCCAAAAAATAACGAAATAAGTTGTCGTTAGATTAATTGGAAATTATGGTCAATGGTTTCGGGATACTTGGAGAAGATATTTATAGAAGCTTAATTAATGAATTTAAAATTGTAAGACAGCTTAGCTATGGAGTTTGATTGACTTTATATCCACACCAAAAGAAGAAGAAGAGAATATATTGTAAGCTTTTAGTGAAGTAGCAACTTGCAAGATTAAGTTTGACTCCCTCCTTATTAATCAAGAAGAACAATTTGAACCTAAATGATGCATTTGGGCTATTAATCAGGTTTAAGTCAACAGGAGCAATTTGAACCTAAATTATGCATTAATTCCTCCATAAGTTGTTGCATTTCTCACCT